AAATAAAATGAATGTGTAAAAAGATTAGCCAACGAATAAGTAAATTATAGAGAATTGCAGTCATGAGTATCGTCGTCAATACTTATAAATGCATCAACACGTCCAATGTTAATTAACAGCGACAATAGTAGTAATACCATCATACATATTTCATCATGTTCTGCGCGTCTTGACTATATGCCATTGAAGAGTATTTCAGTCGTTCGCCTCTTCGTCTTATTTGTCATAATAATAATAATAATAATAATAATAATAATGATGCTTCAGACATAATATAATTTGCAAAAAAAAAGAAGACAAGAGTTCTTTCTTTTTTTTATAAACAAGAAAGAGTGAAGAAAAAAAAAACATAAGAAGACCATCAAATACAACAGAAATACACTCGGAAAAAAAAGGAAACATAATGTTCACTCTCAATTTATATAGTACACATTTAAATAGTCTTATAAACAACGACACATACAATACATTTAACGAATCGATATATATATATATATTTATATAATTTTTTTTTTATTATTATTTTTCTTTTCATTGAATAATATACATCTCACCAGGACTTGTCTAGGTATTTACCGATATAGGTATCAATAATTGAATACACGTGCATTATCTATAAACATAGAGTAATAGAAAAATAATAAATACAACTAAGAAAAATAATGAAATATGCTATTCTTTTTTCTCTCTCTCTCTCTCTCCTATAGAATGTTAATTGATTTTGTTTTGAGAAAAAATGTTTATTGAAGATTGTTTACCTGATGATGAAAATGATGATGTTGCTTGTGATTGTGATGGTGAAGCTAAATCATTATAATGTGATGCTCTTGGTGATGGTTGAGTATCAACATCTGATGATTCTTGACTAATGAGTGATGTTTGTTTATTGAGCGTTTGCTGTCGTTGTTGTATATAATTTGCTAATGTTCTCTTACGTGTTTCAGCTGCTACTCTTAATGTTTCATATACTGGATCAATCACTGGTTTATCTAGAAAAGAAATGATGACTAAGATCTTCTTTTTATATTTGTTTTTACCTTCTTCTTTTTCACGTTCGCGTTCACGATCACGTTCACTATTTTTTTTCTTTCTTGACGAGAGTCGCCGTACGAATGACTGCAAAAAAATAAAATTCAGTTTTAATTCAAATATATACATTATTAATTAGTAGTATACAAAAACAAAACGATTTATGATACCTCCATCATTTGTACCATAACACTAGAACGCTTTTCTCCTAATAGGATAGAATATGATTCATCGTTATAAATCGAAAAATGAGTTGCAGTCATTCGACGTTGTTGGTGTTTAGGTTCTTCGATTGGAAACCATGTAAAACGTCGTTGTAACCATTTTGATAAAGGTCTATTTGATAACTCTTCAAGTTTATTATCATTTGTTGACGATCCCACACATTCTATGTCAACACTTAATTTACGCGGTATATTATCAAATATTATTCGTTTTGTTTTCAATGAATGCGAACGTAAACGAGCCGATGAAATATATAGAGATTGATTGTGTTGTTCTCGACTAGACCTCATATTGATCGATATATTTTTTTTTAATAATAAGTTACTTAATGGGTATACTCATACTTGAAAAAGTAACAATAGAATCTCCGTTATAAGAAAATAGACAACGAAGAAAGGAGAGTATAACAATAACGTATGTCAACAGGAAACGAGTTCAATGATAACGAGAGGAGACAGCACTTTCTTGCTAAATTATATTTATAAGAAGAAGAAGAAAAAAATGAAAAATGGAGGAAAAATAACATGCTAGATAAGAAAAAGGAAATTAATTAATGACCTTTTCTTACAAATAATGACCCGCTAAAACAAAATGAATAGATACTTTAATATCTAGGTAATAGAATCTTCAAATTAAGTTTGATTTAAATAGAAATTATGGAAATTTTTTATGTATTGTTTTTGCATTCGAACGACTCAATTAGATCAATGAAAATAAAATATGTATATAGAATTAATGATTCTATGTTTGTTTATATAACTTACCGAACGATTTTCATTGGTAGAAGTTCCACTAGCAACTGTTGCAGTTTTTAAAGCTTTAAATGCATCACGCCAAAGGCCTTTAACATTACTTCCATTGCGCTTCTGCGCATCTTGTTCATTATCGGCAACACTACTCATCGATGTTCGACGAGTTTTGAGCAAATCTTGCTGAAAAAAAAAACGAAGATAAACATAAATCGTACAGAAATACTACTGATAGCTAACTTATACTATTTTTCTATGTCATTATCTTCCGCCTATACATAACATATACACCACTATATAACCGAACTAATAAAAAAAAAGGAAACAGAACAAACTCGATCGATATTTACTACTAATAGAAGAAAAGGTACTCGCCGATTTACCTTTATCAACACTCAAACTACATGGGAACAAAGTAAGTAAAAAAAAACGAGTATCGCAGACATTTCCTAAGGGGAATATACATTTTTTCTTTCATATTGATTGATTAATCTTTGTATACATGCACTACAGCGATATAAATATATATATATACAAAAAAAAACGACTCGATAATGCCTCGACTTATCTTAGTTTCTAATCGTTTTCGATTGAGACCTAGAGAAGTGGAAATAGATATTAATGAATGAAATAACTGCATATGAAAAAAAATGCCTCACCCACTTCATCATTTTTGATACCATACGATACTATCTGATTTTCTAACAGGATTGTCATCTTAGTGATAAATAACCTGGTAGTTTCAATAAACCATATCCTGTTACTTTATCTATGTTTCTGTCACGAATGTACAGTTTATATTACAACTATCATGATGTGTCATATTTCTACGACTATACTCTAGCGAGCAATAAAAGTACGTATGAAAGAAAATAGTACAGAGAACATATATACATACAGCTATCATTCTTAATATAAACTAAAACAACAAACAAATAAGACATCAACGTCAAAAAAAAGAAAAGCATTTTCGAATAGAGAAAATTATTTCTCCTAAATATGCTATGTTAATATTCTCAGATTTATAACACATGTATAGATACAGATGACACTCATGTTTATATATATTTGTAAAAACTTAATCCTTAACGTTTGTTTCACATGAATTTACTTGTCTTCAATGACGTCGTGTAGTTTTCTATAATTCGGCTATAATTGCTTTAATGTGGACCCATGCTTTTATTAGAAGATAATGCCAAATAACTGTGTATGTTTATTGGCAATCGACAGAAAGAAAACGGATTGTGAATAGACTAATAGGAAGTAAAGAAAGGCACGAGTAGAGCAAATAAACGAAAGGAAACTGTCGATTAATCAAGCCGATGGACTCAAAGAAAAATTTTTGCTTTCGCTCTTGTCATGTATGTGTGTGGTATAAGCTGTTATTGTTTGTCTCGCACGGTCGCATTATATCGATCTATTTTCCGAACGTATTATACACGCTCATCTCATGCTCAAACACTCGTCGCGACATTTGACAAAATAACTTTGTCTTTATAGACATATGACAAATGGGTCACGGCCAAAAAAAAGAAAAGAAGAAGAAGAAGAAGAAAGAAAATCCGATAATTTTTTGTTTTCTATTTTCTTTAACCTAATTACAGTTAATTTCGTTTATTTGATAGTTTTTTCTTCCGAGAAATAATAAAAATATTTGCTAATTATTCTATTTCCGTATTCAAACAGATTTTTGTTTTTGTATTAAGAAATTTTACCTGAGCGAGTAAAACAGATTCTTCAAGTTCAACGAGACGCAACATATGCTTTTTTTTCATGAAATCACTTATCTGATTCAGTAATTTCTTGTTCGATCTATATGTATGTATATATATATAGTTTTATTATATGTTTATTTTAAAAAGAAAGAATATTTACTGTTGTTGATCGTCACTATGTTTAACAAGAGGCTTTGGTGTTGGAGGATTAATAACAGCTAATAATAATGATTTTTCTTTTTTAATTTCTCTTAAACGTTCTATTGTTTCTTTACACCGTGATGATAGTTGCATTTGTATAACGGGTGCTGCGTAAATAATTAATTGATCGTTATTAGGTGATGATATAGAATGTAAACGTGAATTATGATTTATTGGTGATATGAATGATTCAAATTGAATATGAACAGGAGGTGTTGCTGATCTATCATTGGATTCATTGACGGAACAAATATAATTTTCTATTTCTTCATTAGGATTTGCGGATGAACTCGTTACAACAAACGAAGCATAACTTGAATGTCGTCGTTCGTGCTATTGAAAGAAAAAGAAGAAAAATAAATAAGACATAGAATATATTATCATTAGGATATTCTTTTATGTTAAATAGAAGATTATTTTTCATTTAAATGGACGATATACTACCGATTGACGATTGCCCATTGTTCGATGGATAATAATGGTATGTCAAACAACAACAACAAGAACGACAAAATATCTGTACCACTTTACATCTATTATAGGAAAAAATCTTTTACAGACCAATATCTTCATCGTATAACATGCAGCTATGCAAATAAACAAATACATACTTGCTTGGAAAATGCGAATCAAATAAAAAAATAGACCCATTTATCTTAACCTATTACCGAAAAGTGATCTGAATGTTTCTATTTTTGATCTAAAGGTCAAAACTGATAGTATTAACTTATAATTAATTTCAAATTATTGTTTCAAAGCAAAATTACCAATTACATATATCTTGCTTTTTTTCGATCTGAAAAGAGCAAGTAGAACTAATCGTAAAACAGCTAACATATTTGGTTATTGAGAAAAATATGGGAAACAAAGAAAACAAATATTGTATTCTCCCTTGATGCTCTTTATAGATAACTATTAGTAATCCTGGAGAAAAAAAAAGAAAGCAGACAAATAACATCATATGTTTTATTCTTATAATAATTATATAGAATGAAAATATTGAATAAGAATTTAATTCTACCTAATAGTCTATCGATACATTATTTTATCAATAAATGTACTTAAAGAAAATATTTTTTACTTTGGTTATGACTGGAAATATCCATAAAACTACAATTTTCTTTCTCATCGATGATTTTTATCTACTAATCGAGAGATTTATTAGTACTTCATACATTTGATTTATGGATCTGATTATGACAACATGATTTTTATATGTTATACTTACAATAACTTTTAAAATAGATGTTTTGGCTATAGAAATAATCATTAGATACTAGAACTAATCTAAGAAATAATTCTCATTTGTATTTCTTAGTAAATATTGGAGTATTACGAATTACAAAAATTCATATTTGTCAAAATAAGAAATATTTTCATTAACGTAAATATGTTTTTTCCTTACAAATTCTTGTAAAATGGAAGCGATTAATTGCATATTTTGACATGTTCCATCAATTATTTCCAATTGTGATTGTTCCATTCCCTAATTTCAAAAACAAAATGAATTCTTTTTTTTTGTCTATCAAAATTCTACAATATGTTTTTTTACTTGAAGAAGTTGTGGTAAAATCTTTTGATTATATTTCGAATAAAGACCATTTACACCCACAATTTCAAGAAAATATTCATTATGAATAAGATCAAAATCAGATGTAGCACCATGTGTATTATATATTTTCGAATATTCTTCTTTCAACTAAATATTTAAACGAAAAAATAATCCGATTTAAAAAAAATGTTCTTATATTACCTCTTTAACCATTTCATGACCTTTTTCCGTAATTTTATCAAGATCACGTCGATGTTCTCTATTAATAGTTAATTGAAGTGATTTATTAGTTACAAAACTTGACAGAGGACCATATATATTCTTTTCCATAATACATGACACTTTTTTTAAAGACTAAAAATATGAAAAGAATTATTAATGATTAGTATTATATTTTCATATACTTGTGATTCTATATCCGTTTCAAGCAATAAAGATTCCCATAGATCATACATCATACCATTTAAATGACATCTAATATGAAAAAGATTATTTTCCAAACACTAAGTATCAACATTTACTTTGCACGAATTTCATTTTCCGTTTTTTTACGAAAATCATTAACCAATTGATGTAATTGAGATGATGCTAATGAACATATTTTTGCCCATTGATTTGAAAAATCAGCAACTAAAAATAATGAATGATTTTTTTCAAGTTTTAACTTTATTACTAACCTAATTTTGTTAAAGCAATTGTCACTTCTGCATATTCAAGTAGTTTCGTCCATTCTTGCGGATGAGAAAGATCAACATAACTGACATGACGTCGAGTACTGTTAGCCATAGGTTTAATCTAAAAATTTCATAAAAGTAATTTATCACAACAAGAAAAAAAAAATATAATAATCATGTACTAATTTTATATCCAAACTTGATCGATGAATATATATATATATATTTCTCTATACTATTGTCAATAAGATCACGTTCCAAAGGAAATAAATGAAAGTTTTCTGTTTTTCTTCTCGGATAATACTCAAATGAACGTGCATATAGAAAGATGGTGTTAATCATTTTGTTCTTAACATTCTACTATTACGATCTCAATTTCTATATTCTAAATGGTTTTTCTATCTTTTTATTCCATAACAATGCATATATTTCGATAGGTTTTCTTTTTTTGTTATTCTTACTCAGCCTACTTCTCATTTCCTACTTTTCTTACTGCTATGCGTCTGTCAAGATATTCTAAGTTTTACCTAAAAGCGCCAAAATGGAAAGTAAATGAGCAGTAAGAAAAACTTACACATCAATGAACAATACATCAAGATTAAGTTAGTGCCTGGAAGAACTGAACTACTACTTCTCGATTACTTGTTGTTCAGTGATTGAGTATTTATATATATATATATACATATATATAGATTGTCGATAATATAATACATTATTGTTCGCAGCCTAATCAAGGATAAGATAGACAACAATACTCAAATTACGCTTCTTGATTATGTTGACATCGGCAGGACCAGTGTCTTCATTTCGATGAATCTCATTTTCCATCTCAATGATGATTTGATCAAGCAAAACTAGTGTTACACTAGTTTCTTATTTTTTTTCTTCTACTTCTATAATTAATCATCCTTTGTTCCGAGTATACTTCCAGTCAAATAAATTCGAAAGTTAATATAACTTGTAAACTAAAAATATAAAGTTACTCTTGCAGTATTTTATAATGAGAATATCTCATTAGATGGCAAACAACTATGAACTTTGTAGAAATAATATTCTATCTAATTGCAAATAGGACTAGATAGTCAATAAAAAATCTTCTTATTTTTTTTTTGCATGACTAATTGCACAAGCTAAACCCTGTAGATTTATTGCATTTCTAATTATAGTGAAACATCAAGTGTTCTGGTTGATAACAGTAATCATGTATGACAAGCTTTCTGTTTGAATTAATCAGTATGTATACACGATGCATTTAACTTTCATATTGGCATAGAAATAAAACACAACATGCATAGAATATGTAAAAGGAAGTAATTTGACCATATTTCATTAAAAAAGAACAAGAAAAACAAATTATTTTAAAAAAATATATATATTTATGTAGATATAAATAGAGGCATAGAGTAAAAAGAATTGTCTATTGAAGTGTGCACAAAGTACAAATCAGATTGGTAATGAGTAAAAATTTTGTTTTTTGTTATAAAATATGTATGATTGGATAGTTATTTGCATTTATCTTGGTAATAATTTTTTTTTGCCCTAAGAAAATTTTCAAATGCGTAATGGTTGAAGGAAGTAAAATGTATTTATATTTTCAAAAATTTCTATTGCGTATGCACATTTCTAATATTGTTTTGTTCTCTTTCGTTCTTCATCTGTTACTATTCTTAGTATTATAATCGACGAGAAAAGAAAGAAAAACAGAGGCACGCCTCGTCCCATACGATGCTATCAGCCATGCCTCTCTCTTTCTCTCATAAATAATCATACTAAAATCAGCCATTGGCGTCGTGCACATCCTCTTGTAAGGGATAGAAACAAACAATTGCGTACCTTGTACTCTAACTAAAACTGTAGATATATATATATGTACTAGCTTGTTTTAACTTGTACATTTTACGGCAACCTACGTCGTCGATAAACTGTTTCATACGCAAATTAATATAATAAAATGGCTTCAATGAACTATTGCTTTACTGTCTGTCGTGCAGCTGATGAAAAAGTTCAACAAGAAACTCATCCAAATTTATCATCATCATCAACACCAGCAGTTGATACTCCTCAATCGGTTTCACCTGGTAATGGTGCTTATTTTTTTGGACGTTTCTTTTCATTTGGTACATCACCACCGGCATCAACAGCATCACTTAGTAATCCATTTACTCTTAAAGCTGCTGGCTTTGCCGATATTGATGACAATTTATTTTAAATGAATTTATTTCCAAATTGAACTTTATTCGTATATATATATAAAAATATATATATCCGTCAAATATCAGATAAAAGAAACAGATTTAAATAAGATTGGTGTATGCTTGTATCCAAACTATAATGCCATTATTTTGAGTTAGTGAGATATCTGTTTCTGTTTTTGTATGCTTGTTAATATATTGTATTTATTATTTTTTTTTTGTCATTGTATAAAGAAAAAAACAAACGCTTAGTAATTGTGTTAGAATAAAACGTATAACTCGAAATTTTGATGAAAAAAAATTTCGATGTTGTTAAAAATGAACTTGTACTGCTATTAAATAACCACTGGAAACTAAAGCAACATGATTTATTTGTATTATATGCATCGCAACAGGACAGAAAAGAAAAAGAAAATCAAGGCATGTTTTTCTATTTTGTACTAACACGCATGTCATAAGAACCTTTTTGTTTTTCTGGGTACGAATGTAGTCGAAATATAAACATTAATTTTATGAAAATTACTCCAATAAAATCTTCTATTGTCTGAAATTTTTTGTTTATTTTAATGAAAAAAGAAAAAAAGAGACAACACAAATGATTACCGGCTATGACGGTAGATAATAAACTTCCATTAAATGATGAAAGAGTAAACACAGATACAATTTATGAAAAGAAAAAAAAAAAAGAAAGTCGTTTCTATGCTAGAAGGGAACAAAAAAGTAATATGAAGGCTTTTTGTTTTCTTGTCTTATAAATAAGCGAATAAAGAAAAAGAAGAAGAAAAAAAACGAAAAAAAAAAAAAAACAAATCATGCAGATAGTAACTGTACATTATTGAAAAAAAAGAAGAAATGTAATTGTTATTTACGTAAGTTTGTTTGTTGCTGCTCAAGTCGATGAATTTTACCTTCTAAATTCATTTTTTCACGTTCTAATTGATTTATTGTCTGTCGTTGTTCTTCAACTTTAGCTGTTTCATTTATTAATTGTTCAAGTAATTGATTGTTAACATCAGTTGAAGTATTTAGTAATGGAATTTCACTTTTATGAAGAATGATTTGTTTACATTGAGATGTATTATTATTATTACCAATATCATTTGTATTTGAATAAATAAAATGATTTGTTGTATTATTTAATTTTGATTCTTGTGTATTATCTGTTAATATATTTGTTGTTTGACCATTATTTGTTAATAGTGGAGAGAGCAATACATGATCATCACAAAATAAATCTTCAATTGTTGTATTATCAGGTAGATTATCAAACATTAATTCACGTATATTATCTAATGATGATTGAATATGATCGACATCACCAGTTATATCATCAAGAGAAAAAGGAACATTATTGTTTGATGAATCTAATTTTTGTTGTTTATCATCAGAATAAATTGAAGAATTTAATGTTGATGATTTAGATGGATGTGAATGAAAAGTATTGGGAAAATCTGTTTGTTCTTCTTTCAGGATTGGAACGGTTTTTATTAATGACTAGAAATATAAATAAGCAAAATTAATTATTAAATTTACTTATTCAATTCAATTTCTATGTCTCGAAAAAAAATCAAAACTAATCATCTATAGAAATAGTTTATGATATATAGATAGATAGAATCTAAAGATGAAATTTACATTTGATATAATGAAGAAATTACTTTTTTTCTATTATTTAAAATAGATTATTGTTAAATTCAATATTATTTACAAGATTTATATCTTTTACTAGAATAACTATCGTTTATTAAGTTAGATCAAAAAATTCTTTTTGTTTAGAAAAATCAAGATTTAAGATTATAGTAAAACAACATCTGATTTAAATAATAAAACGTTATATTTATTACGAGAGAAAACAAATATCTGCATTTCTTAAAGGTGATTTAAAAATTAAATCATATCAAACAAATAATCTGCATCAATGTTTACCGTATTGATGCCTGTTAAATTCGCTTCATCTATTTGTCCAATATTCATTTTTGTACCATTATTATTATCTGTATTTAAGAAAAAATCCGGTATATATGAATTGCTTTCATTACTACCATTTCCAATCGTTTTAAAAGTTTTATTTATTGGATTACGAAGTTCATCTGTTGGTACAGCCCATTCATAATTATTTTGCGATTGATGATGATAATTATCATCGAGAGTTTGCGTTGCTGGTGGTGGTGATGGAACAAGATCAACTAATGGTGATGCATCTGTTGTATGAAGCCAACCACCCGAATCATTATCTGTTAATTCATTTATGATTATACCTTGTTGTCGTCCAAGGAGAAGTGGTGATAAAAGATGTTGCTGTTGTTGTTGCTGTTGTTGTTGTTGTTGTTGTTGTTGCATAGTTGTACGTTTTTTTGGTTCTTCACTCAGCATTAATGCTGCTGGTTTACGTTTAAGACTATTTGTTGGTATTTGTTGATTTGTAATTGTATGACGTTGTGTTTGTTCTTGTTGAGATTGATTTGTTGATTGTTGTTCAACAGATGGTCGATGTGTTGATGTTGTAAGAAAATGTAAGAGAAATTCCATTAATTTGGATACAATTTGTTGTTGCTTAGAATGTTTTTGTTTTAATATACTTACCTCACGCCATAATGCTTGATTTTCATCTTGCATATGAAATAATTTATCTGTTAAAGATGTTTGTTTAGTTTGTAGACTTCTAACATCATCAAGTACATGTGAAAATTCAATTGGACGTGGTGATAATTTTGTATCCATATAGTTACTTGTTGATGTAACTGCCGGTGATGCTGATGATGTTATTGATGGTGATGGTGATGGTAAATCCGTTTTTGTTGTTTGTATATTAATTTTTTGTTGATTATCTGGTGCACGACGTTTAATTAATTCTAATAATGTATCATGACCACGTATAAAACTTGGATGAGCAAATTCAATATCATCACGTTCAGTTTTCAATGAACCATGTTCAATAGTTGACATTTTACGAAAACCATACATATTTAATTGACGAATAAATGAAGCAAAATTATTATGTTTAAAATAACGTGGTAAAATTTCTCGTGCAAAACGTGCTTGATCATAAACATGAAATGATCCACCTGATGGATCCCAAGCAATAAGATCATCACAAGCTGGATCATTAACAAGTGCCCATAATTTAGCTAGAAATGCGGTTATAGCTGTTTGTGATGATTGATTTTGCTGTTGAAAATATTCACCATCAGTTATACTCGATGATGACATCATCTATAATATTATTATTAGTTTTTTGCAAAAAGAAATGTAATTTATATCTGAAAAATACGAAAACTAATAACTAAAATAGATCAAAAAAACAAAAAAGTTTATTTTTCTAAAATTTTTTGATTGCGTATTGTTTGTGAATTATACAACCAAACAGCATCAATTCCTTCACCTATTGTACGATCACAATTGATCGGAAATTGATAACGACATGTTATGACAACACTTTCATCGGCTATTTCTTTGGATAATTTTTTTAATAATGGTTCCATCTAGAAATAAAAATTAATGATTAGTTAGATATTGAAAACAAACGATTACAGAGAATAATCTGTAGACTTATTGTTAAATGATTATTCATTGATTTAGTATTATTTTCGAATATCTAACAAGCAGGAAATTTTTATACAAGCTGTTAGTATAGAGCAACCGATCCAACGTTTTTTATTTTGATAACTGACATGCATCAGCTTGTAATTAGAATATCGTAAGGCAATGAAACCTATGATAATCATCGCGACATTGTGAGTATAAAAAAACAAATCATACTTTTGCATATCTCAAGTACAAGAACTGTTGATTTCTATGCAGATCAATGTCGTCTACGTACATTCTTGCTCAATGGGACAATCTTAACCTTCGGAATTTTTACCATATTCTATCATAGTAAATAATTATATCTATTAGATTATTAACCAATAGTTGTTCTATTTTGATTACTACAAGTGAAAAAGAGAATGAAATCAAAAATATTTTTATAAAAGATGATATATTAGCTGTCTATATCGTTTAATAATCAATTAATTCAATGATTCAGAGATCTATCATAACAATCCTGCTAAATAAAATTTTTAATATAATTTATACAATCTCGAAATTTGAGTCAAAATTTAATCGATATATATTCTCATATACAAAAAACTATCTCATTTCTCCAAATGTGTTAGATTTGCCCAAAAAATTGAGAATGAATATCTTACCATTGTATCAACACCAAATAGAACGATTGTATCATATTTTGATAGATCATACTAAAAAATGAGAAAAATAATTTTTCTATAATAAATAAAAAAGTTTTTTTTGTTAATTTACTTTCCAAAGATTTGCTCGTTTAAATTGACAAATCTTTCGTTGACCTGATGTAAGTGCTTTTAAACGAGCATAATAAACAAGTACACGATTTAGTTCAATACCAGTTGCACGTGGTAAACCTTGTTGAACTGCTTCGAATACCTAAAGAAAAATAATATTTCAAATCGAGATAAGATCTTATTTTTTCTTGACTAACAATTCTTCCGTCACCACTTCCGAGATCAACTAAATGTCGACGTTGTTTTGTTGAATATTGTTTTAATAGATTAAATATATTATCTAATTGTTCTCTCGTTGCTGGTACATAAGGAAGTGCATGACGTCGTAGTGCTGGTGTTACAAAAGGAATACATAACACAGTAAGACCTGTGCGTGTAGGATAAGATTATTAAGTTAAGAATAATTGTTTTTTTATCAACTTGCCAAGACCGACTCCACCAAAAATGCCCAATAATATACGGCCAAATGTTTTTGAATCTTTTTCTTCTTGCATAACAATGATAATAATCTGAAAGAAACTGACGCAATAGAATTCAT